CCCGTGGGTGAATGTGCTCCCAATCCTTGGGGAGACTAAAGGACACTGTGGAGGGTGTTAAGCCGATGGGCTATGCTTGGGTCGGCCTCTTGTCTTTATCTTTGGTCTAACCTGTACATTATACGTGTGTTGTGTCTTCAAATTGTGGCTTCTAACATTATAACCTGTTGCCTTCGAGTCAAGTCTGCCTCGTAGGGGCCCTATAGGATGGAGCACACAGATTTTCCAAGGCTGTAATCTTTATGGAAGCAGACTGCTTCATCTTTCCCCTATGGAGTGGCTGGTGGCTTTGAACCACTAATCTCTGGGTTAGCAGCTGAGTGGTTCACCACTGTGAATAGGTTTCAGTGGAACGTCCACATATGTAAGACATCCTAGGAAGAAAGGCCAGGTGACCTACTTCTGAAAACGAATCAGTGTTCGGGTCCTATTTGCATGGGAGCCCTGTGAGTCCGAGGCCAAGCTGGCAACTAACATCATTCCACATGAAGAGATGTTCTAGAAGGATCTTCCATAGCATACAGGGAACTGTGTCTGACTGCGTTTTCAAGGAACACCTGAAATATGCAGGCGCATGATAAGCAGGGCAATTAAGCAGGTTTAAGGTTACTCTTTGCAGACTGTTCACTCTGATAACCAATACAGAGTTGCAAAACAATACCAGGTTACCAGGAGTACAACTAGTCACCTCAATGGAAACTATTTTAAAAGGGAGTTAAAAAAAGAAACCTACTCAAGGGGGAAAAAAGTGTCCTGCTATCGTTTAAGATATTCACATTGGCATAATCATTGTTACCTCATCACTTAGTTTTCCTGTTTTTGACATTGGCGTGTGCGCGGACACACACAAGCCACTTCATTGTAAATTTCTTGTTAAAACCTCATTAACATAACCCAAAGATCAGTCTTCTGATGAATGTGCATGACGATAATCCTGCAAAGGAGACTCATAAAGCAATGAAAACGAATTAATGCCTTTATAATGAAACAAATTAATCTGAGAGAAAAAAAACCCATTCGCTTTACTTAATTTAATTGGCAGGAGAACATTGGGGCTTTCTACTCTTGCAAAAAGTTAAATCTCAGAAACTCTGAGGGGCGGTTCTTGCTGGTCCTACAGGGTCGCATCAAATCGATGGCAGTGAAATTTGATGATATTTTAAATGAGGTTTTGTGGGAAATGTGGCAAGTTGGAACTGTGCCAACACAAGGAAGAAAAAAGATCTCGGGATGTAATTAACATTTGGATAGGGCTATTTACCTACATGGTGTGAAGGTATCTGTGGAAAAAACGAGGACTTATGAAATGATCAGTGGAGCCAGAGTGCAGTCCCTCAGGGCGGAAAAGGTGGCCTCCTGGTCAGCAGCAGTCGTGTTCCCGACAGAGACCCAACGAAGGAGCCACAGGCCCCGAAGTGGTAGCGATGCACACGCACACCCTTTCCCCTGCCTTCACGCGCCCGATCTGGATTCTAATCTCTTACCTGGGCAACAGCTCCTGATGATTCCTCCTCCTTTCTAGGGGTAAAGTCCACTTTCTGAATCTGGCTTCCAGAGCCTTCCCAGGGGGCCTCCCATACCTGGTAAATAACTCCTCCCTCCCTCTTTTAAAGTCAGATTAAACCCCACCTTCTCCAAGCAGCTAAATCTGCCGTGGCTTCAGCAATCCCTTCCTTTATACTGATTGCTTCATGACTGATTCCATCCATGTCGCCTTCGACTGTAATATATGAAAGCCTCCAAACCCACTGGCATGGAGTCCACACTGACTCAGAGCGACCCTGCAGGATAGGACAGAACTGGGCCTGGAGTTCCCCAGACGGTCACTCTTTACAGGAGTAGAAGGCTCGCTCTCTCCTACAGATTGGCTTTTGGTTTTGAGCTTGCAGCCCAAGTTATAACCATGACACCACCGGGGCTCCTCTAATGTCATATAACGTGTGTAATGTGGGTAAGGTGCACTGTTCTCAAATGCACAGCTTGATTGTTGCTTGACATGTGTATCCACTTCCCTCCTGGGCACCTCGTACCTGAATTCCATTCCAGGGCACAGCTCACGTTCACCTCTACAGCCCGACATACTGGAGGCAAACTTTTAGTGTATTTCTATTCTGAACAAACTCATCTCAACCCTATAGGGCAGAGTAGACCTGCCCCTGTGAGTTTCTGAGGCTGTAAGTGTTTATGGGAGTAGAACACCCAGTCTTTCTCCCCTGGGAGTGGCTGGTGGTTTCGAACTGCAGACCGCTTGCTACCTATCGCACAACCACCACACTACCAGAGCTCCTTTTAACAGGAAGGGAGAGATGATGTATACACCCTGGAAAGCAAGGAGAAAGATTGGGATAAATACTAAGGAGGTAGAGGGTACTGTGCTTCTGGGAGTACCCAGAGCTCTGTCGCCCCCACTATCCAACTCCTGTGTGTTGCTATTAAATTGCTCTAGGCATGCACTCACTCCACAGAGACCTTACCATACACGTACTTTGTAGTGAGCATCACACCAGCCCAAGGGATATAATGGTGTCTAAGACAGATACCCACTGATACTGATCTGTATGGAGTTTGCAATTTTATAATTTGCAATCTATCTGTAAAAAAAACTAATTTGGTAAACCGGACAGAAATTTTTCTAATTCTACTTCGTTTGCCTAAAAAGAGAAGGTACAGAAACTTGCTCATCAATTTGTCGAAGGTCCACTGGACTTACAATTTTGCCAATTGTACTCAAGGTTTTGAGCTTTGGATTTTGGCTACAGTGCCACCAAGTGGGCATCCTGATGATTGCAGCGGAGTTATCTTCAGAATCCAAACTCAAAGTCATCAGGTCAATTCTGACTCATACAGAATTGAGTTCGAATTGACCCTGTAAGGCAGGGTAGAACTGCCTCTGTGAGTTCATGAAGCCCTAACTCTACCGGTCGGTGAGAAACACCCAGCTTTCTCCCATGGAGCGGCTGGTGGTTTCAGTCGGCTGACCTGTGGGCAGCAGCCCAGCTGTAACCACTATGCCACCAGGGCTACTCTCAGAATACCAGGCTCCTCCAACTTAGAGATGGCAAGGTAGCATGCAATAGGGTCTATGTCTCATGGGACACATGTATAACGCAATCGCCTGCACTAAGACCTCTTCCACAAAAATGTTGACACAACTTAAAAGTTTTTAACAGGAAAGTTTTCAAATAGTTCAAGTAGTTCATTCCTGAACTGAAATAAACCAAAATTGGGGTGGGAAATATCAGTTTAATTATCAATGCACTCTTTTTCATTAGTTCTATCTTCCTGTTAGAAATTGTACATTTTAAAGGCAGGGGGGTACAGGACTGGATGCATAATGAGAATAATAATGAGAATACAAGGGGTTATAGGGAAAGCAGGAATAGTGGGGTGGATAATGGTGAGTCAGGGGATCTCTGGAGTAATGGTGGAGACAGGAAGGGGTTGGAAGCACTGAAATGGATATCGCATAACTCATCTTGGAGGTGATTTAACAATGGGAGGGAGAATGTTCTAAAATTTATGTGGGGGTGATTGTACAATTCTCGGTATTATTGAATTATGATATGTAAATTACATGCCAATAAAACTGTTAAAAATAAAATGAAAATGATGACATTTTATAAGCCCCGGTGCAAAAAAAAAGCAGGGGGGGTGGAGACAATACAAGTAGTGAGATAACAATAAAGGTAGTAATACATGTAGTTCTAAGGAAAATGAAATAATTATCTGGTCTGTTTCAGTGGAATCCTTTGCAGATATATCTGTATTGGTCCTAGAGAAGTTACAGTATGAAGAATCTTGCTGACACGAAGCAACAAATAACCAGGATTTCTAGAAAGACGCATTAGAGCAGGCGTCCTCAAACTATGGCCCGCTGGGTGTTTTTGCCGTTTGTTTTTTTACTTCAAAATAAGGTATGTGTTGTGTGCATAGGAATTTGTTCACAGTTTTATTTTTAACTGTAGTCTGGCCCTCCAACGGGTCTGAGGGACAGTGAACTGGCCCCCTGCTTAAAAAGTTTGAGAAGCCCTGACTTAGAGTATCATGGCAACCAAACAAAACCACCTCGCTTTCTGAATTCTTCTTTCTGAAATAGCTTTTAAATAGGGTGCACACTCATGGCTTAACATGCAGTTTAAAGGATTTGGAATATTTCTGTCATTTACATTTCACCGCCTGCAAAAGTGAGGAATAATTAATGATAGGGTGTTACTTTGAAAATACATGGTTCATAAAAATGTATATTCAGAGGACTTTAAAAACATGTTTTAGGAGTTTATGCATATACATTGTTTAATCTCACCAAAAATATTTTTTGTTGGGAATTTTTGCACTTGAAGGCTCTTCAATTTGCCAAAGGATTAACTATCAAGTTAGTTTCTTAAAGTTGTAGTTACTTTTTTCCCCAGTCTAAAGTGGGGTTAAGACTATGTTGGAACTATGCAAGGCTGGTTCTGAGGCAACCACAGAGACAAGAGGAGATAGGGAGAGTGGTGACGATAACCTTATAGAAGACTTGGCTGAACACAGTCAATGCAATATAAATCGGATGTTCATTCCTAATCTGCATGCACTGGTTAATTATCTTTTTCTTAAGCATACTAATTCACGCATGAAAACATCATGCTGAATACTTGGTTAAGGATCTTTCCAAGGACTTGGAAGAGTCCTTCTGATTATTTTTCTGAGACAGACTCTCTTATTGAGTATGGGAAAATAAGTAATTAAAAAACTTTTTAAGTATTTAACTTAAATACCAGGGGGCTTCAGTTTGTTTCTTGGAGAAATTCTATTATCATTTAATTCCATTTTCCCACAAGTTTGCTGTCACTTCTTACCTCTTTCTTACTCCCCAGACTTCCAGCTCGCTGGATGTACATGGAAGTTATTTGCATGCTAAGTAAAACATATCAACATGCTAAGTAAAACATATCAACCTTTCTGAGGTTCCTTAAGAGTTACTGTTAAAAGACAAAATACTTAATTCAAAAAATGAGAAGTTAGATACAGTTTTAATTTTATTTCTATTTTTGGTTGGTAGAAACAAAACAAAAAACAAACACAGTCCCAGGATTTTCCCCAATCAATCAACAGTTCTTTGGCAATATTAGAGCAAGTAACATGACTGAACATGGTAATTATAAGAAATCTAATTTAGCCAGATTGAAATAGGAAAATAAGTCAAAACACGTAGCTCATTTGAAATAACAAATGTTAAGCTCATTTGAAAGAAACAAGTATATTTCAAAACCACGATTTGGTAAACAGAAAATATAAGATAGCAAAAATGCAGACACTATGTGGCATTTTCATTTCCAGGTATGTACAACGAACCCACCTAGCTTTTTATTGCATGGAAACAAATTTACAGAATGTAAACAGTGAGAGTACTGTGCAAAAATGTGTTAAGGTCATTTTAGTAAAAATGCTAGAGGCCAAATTGCAGTCTCACTTTGGTGGCAAAACAAACAAAACACATAGAAAAACAGAACTATTTATTTAAGTATGAGGCGTTTAGAATTCATAGCCACGTAATCAAAATAAGTAATCTCCCTCCCTCTACATTTTTATGCACCGCCTGTTAATCTTTTCATTATCAATCAACATGAAAAAAAGACACAGGCCTTCAATTGGATAATTCTGGGCATACAACGGAGGACACGGAAACGAGTTCTGACCAATTGCTTAGATCTAGAGTCCCCCAAACTAAGCAGTTCTGTCAAAGGCAGCTATAAAAATACACATCATCACAAGCGATACGGAACTATAAAATTCAGTCGAGAGCAAAGAAAGCCTGGAATTTTAGAGATGGCTGGGAGCCCCAGGATCGACGCGTATTAAATAAAGGGCATCTCCGCACTCCGGTGGATCCAGAATCTCCGGTTGGCAGGCATCTCTCGGAAGAGAGCTTCGCAGGCGGCGGCGGCCCTGAACCAGGCGCGGGCCGAGCGGCTCCGGAGTCACACCTGGTCCCGCAGGCGGGCCAGCCGCTGGGAGAGCTCGTCCTGCTCGGCCGAGGCCACGCTGGTGCCCACGGAGCCCGTCTGGCCCTGAGGCAGCTCCATGTTGAGGTCGAGGCCGGCCTCGTCGGCCATCTCCTGCAGCAGCATGTCCACTTGGTTCTGGGGAGTGGTCAGCGTCGTCGTGCTGCTCATCGTGTCCTCCATTTGCTGCGTCTGGACGTCCAGCGTCTCAAACTGGTGCTCGAACTTGTCCATCAGGGCAGAGATCTTCTCCAGGTTCATGGTTTTCAACGTCGCGTCCATCGACTTCACCACGCCCGCCATCGACTTGGTCACCTTGCCCATCGTCACCGCCGTCTGGACTCGGGCGGCCACCGCGTCGACCCGCGCACTCATTCTCAGGAAATTCACGGCCTGGTTCTTCTGGCGGATGGCATTTTCCGCGTGTATCCTCGCCACTTCCATGTTGCCCTTCTGAATGGCCTTCTTGATCTTGGCCTTCTCGGCCTTTTCCTCCTTGTCGCATTTCTTGGCACTCCGGCTCAGTTCTTTGGCCGCGAACTTGAGGTTGAACAGGTGTTTCTCCATGGTCGACATGGTCTGGCGGCTCCTGGCGCTCCGAAGCCGGGGTCGAGAGCGAGAGGAGGAGGAGGAGGACAGTCCGCTCCCGGACGCCGTTCCTTTGTTTTGATTCCACTTCCTGTTTCTGCCGCGCGGCGCACGCGGTGGCGTCATAATCTGGCGCCCAGCGCGGGGGCGGGGCTAGTTCGCTGATCCGGCGCCGGTTGGTTTCCTGCGCCGTCGCCTTCCGCCCGAAATTCACAAGAGCAAACTGGGCGCCACCGGCAGTTCTGACTCGGAGCGACCAGAGAGGGCAGAGGGGAGCTGTCCTGGCAGGTCCCATAGAGACTGTAACTCTATGGGAGCCGCGCAGTGGCTAGTGGTTTCAAACTGCTGTCCTTGGGGTTAGCAGCCTAACTAACGCTAGCCCACCTTTCCAAAACGAGCCTCCCCTACAATGTGTAAAGCATTATTATAAAAAATATCTACGCACTTTCTTAGGGGTACATTAAAGTCAACAGGACGTCTTTTTTTTTTTGGCATGAAATGAAACATTCAAACTCCAAAATTAGCCAGATGAAGGGTGTCTGGCCAGGAGAATGATTGAAAATACAGCTTCCCAGAGTCTGGGCACTTAACTGTCCTTTAGTTGTGGAGTGCTCCGCCAGAACCCTCTTAGTTAATACATTAAGACACACAACAGAACAATTGTTCTCTAACTTAATTTACTTAATGCAGTCTAATTTACACCACCTTTTCCTTGCAACCCTAAATCCCTTTGAAGGACAGTCAAACGTAACTTTTTATAACTTGCTACAATGTATTGCCTGACTTGTTAAATTTAACAAGATTTTAACAAGATGTCTCCAGAAAGGGCTACATTACTGAGAAACCCCTCTCATTTGCCTGTTTGTTACTGACCAAAGACTACTCAACAGAGATATCCTAATAAAGCTCAAAGAACTTGATTGTTTTCTGGCTCTCAGTCAACAATTGCAACTCTAACTATCCTGAAACCGGAATCAATGTAAAACATCGGTATGAGACTCTCTGAGAGTGACTTACAAGGTAAAATGTATACAATCCGTATTCTGATTTCAGACAGAATGCCATCAAGACGCTGGCATCACCTTTGAATAAACGTCTCTAACTTGGTGATTTGGCTCTGTTGCTCCAGAGTACAAAACCGCACGCGAGGTACCGTGCACGGACTTGTCTCCATCTTTGACTACAATCTCTGCTGCGGTTGTCATACCCTTTCATTGCTGAGTGAAAAGGCCAGGGCACCAGCAAGTTTATCAGAAGTTGGGAGTTCAGCTCATAGATGTTGCCCCCATATATTCCTGTGGCTTAGTAAAAAACAAAATAAAAAACCTCATTGTTTGCTGGCACAACACTGCGTGCTGTTTTATAAATATTCAGGGAACGTCATCCACATTTAAACCTGACGGGCTACATTGTCATTTTAAGTTGTGCAGGTAGAGGACAGTGAAATATAGGGACTCATCTGCCTCAGCCATGAAGCTATCATTATGTATTATTACATCCTTCAGAAACAGGCTTTCAAGCCATAACCATAAGCACTGGAACTTTTTCTTTTAGACTCATTAGTCTTCAAATACAGACCAATACAGCTGTGTGTGTATGTATATATAAGTCTATTGATCATTTAAACTCAGAGACTCTCCTTATCTCTGGACCTCTTAGGATAGTTTGCAGACTGGTCTCACCCCACATATGTTTGAGAACACAGGATTTTGGAAGAAAGATGAGACATTTTTTTTCCATGTATTTTTTTTCATACGTGGCAAAAAATATACAGAATCACTCAGCTTCCTAAAACCCAGTTGTGACTATATCATACCTGTGCTCAACATCTGGACAGCAAAGCTAATTCATCCCCACAGCAGCCAAGCTGCTCAAACAAGGTCCTCAGTCCCCTTTCCCTCCCTCTCATCTAGGGCCAGTCAAACCAGGCTGAAGCACGAAAGTCGGGCATCATTTAGGCACTAGGTGTGGGAAAGAGAACTGGGAAAAGTCATTCCCCAGGTTGTCCCCCATAATAATGCCAAACCTAAGGTGCTGTTTGCGAACACATGGTCCCTGAGGATACACTTGGAGGTCAACTGCTTAAAGGTTATTTGCCTGAAGGTTATCAGCCATCTAAGGCAATCAGGCCCTATTGTCTGTCCCACCCTAAGTAGGGTCCACTCCCTTCTGATAAAAAAACCCAAAACATTATCAAAGGAGGCTTTGGTGTTATGAGAAATTCTGTCTGCACGTGAGAACTTGAGAACTTTCTGGACGATACATAGTGTGACTCGAGACCATTTTTTAAGTCATAAAACAAGACTTTTTTAAATCATAAAACAAACCATTGCTCAACTTTATATGGAATCATAAGGCAATGCAACATTGAAAGAGAAAGCACATAGACCAATGGAATAGAATTGAAAGCCCAGAAACGATCCTATTTATCCACAGTCGACTGATTTTTGACAAGAGTGCTAAGTTCATTCAACAGTCAAGAAGAATCTCTTCAATAAATGGCGCTAGGAAAACTGGATTTCTACATGCAGAAAAGTAAAACAGGATCATTACCTCACATAATGTCAAAGAATTCAAAGTGCAAGAAAATGTTTTGAGAATGATGATGGGATCAGGTATCAGCCATCAAAGATTCAGAACAAAATATGATGTCAATGTGAATGGGGTTGGGGGGAGAGAGTGTGGAGTGGCGGCCCAAAGCCAGTCTGTAGGCAATTGGACATCCCCTTACGGAAGGATCTTGGGGAGAAGACAGGGCAGTCATGGTACAGTATAGCACCGATGACACATACACCTTTCCTGGTTCTTTAATGCTTCCTCACCCCCACTATCATGACCCTAATTCTACCTTACAAATCTGGCTAGACCAGAGCATGTACATGGGTACAGATAAGAGCTGGAAACACACAGGGAATCCAGGACAGATTAACTCCTTGGGACCAATATTAAGGGTAGCCATACAAGGAGGGTAAGGGGAAGGTGGGGGGAGAAAGGAGGAACCAATCACAGTGACCTACCTATATAACACTCTCCCAGGGGGATGGACAACAGATAAGGGGGTAAGGGAGACATCGGACAGTGTAAGACATGGAAAAATCATAATAATTTATAAATTATCAAGGGTTCATGGGGGAGATAGGGGAAAATGAGGAGCTGATACCAAGGGCTCAAATAGAAAATGCTTTGAAAATGATGATGGTAACATATGTACAAATGTGCTTGACACAATGTTGTATGTATAGATTGTGATAAGAGTTGTATGAGCCCCCAGTAAAATGATCTAAAAAAAAAGATGTGTGATAGATATATTTATAACAATGACCAGAAAAGGGGGGGGGGGAAAGAGTAGTTGCCAAAGGCTGTTTAAGTAAACCTAACACTCATGGGATTGGGTTCCCTGATTTGGAGGTGCAGTGTCATGATTTTAGGGCCCATCCCGGTTGAGTGGCATCAGAACATGTTGGGTGCTTCTGTTCTAGCTCATAGGTTGTTTTGTATTGCCAGGGCACTTAAATACTCCGGAGCAACCAGCAATTAATTGGTCTCTATTCACCTGCAGCAACAGAAGACGTTGCATCAGGGATACAGGGAAAGATTTGGCCATCACAGGAGACTGTATGACAGAATTTTTCAAAGCCAACAACTTATTTATTCCAAATCCCTTATTTTTCAACCACATAGACTGTGATGATATACTTGGACCTTGTCAGGTGGACTACACAGGAACCACATCGATGGCATTTGTGGAGAGAGACCATGGAGGAGGTCACGATCATCCGTCAAACAAGGGCGGGGTGGACTACAGAAGCTGAAGACAATTGAACTACGCTCATGAGAGCCGAAGTACGACCTCGAGTCTGTGCCACCTGAATTTTGAGACCATTTCGAGAAGAGATTTGATGCATGGAACAGAAAGGACCTGATATCAGGCAAACTGTACAATGGCATCAAGGACACCATACACCAGCAAGCAAAAAGGCATTACAAAGATACGGAAGAAAGAAAAGATCGGCATGGATGTCAGAAGAGACTGAGACTTGCTTTGAACGTAGAGTGTAAGCAGACATCTCTTCATTCCTACGCTAGAACAGTTATCTGGGACAGTTACAACTTTTGTTTACAGGAGGACAACGATAAATATTTAACACTTTAAAAAAATTAAAATGTTTTTAAAACGACGTGCATGTGCACGTAATAATGACACTGTGGTGTCTTAATTGTTAACTTTAAAATGATTCTGAATAAAATCAGCAGACATGAGCTAACTGAACTAAAATATAATGGATAAGTTTTCTTGCTCTGTTATTGACGGGAGTTGGGCTAGTACTTTCTCCCGTTCACACGTGTACTCCACAACTATCCTGAATTTAAGGGGAGGGGATGGACCGTGTAAGGACCTGGGTAGGTAACGGGTACACAGTGTGTATCATACGATGGTCTATAAAGCCAGAAACCATTTGCTCCCCGGCCCCAATTTCTTTTCATGGAGGCTTCTCTGCAATTGAGCCACAGAAGTAAGTATCTGGTAGGTATTTTGTTCCCTAGAGCCAAGAGGGCGACTTTTCACAACAATTACTAATCCTGCCCTCAATACAGTAATTCCTCGCCCAGATTAAAATCCGGGAAAGGATACTTAATAGTAAATCTCAGCATATTCAGCCGACATAAATGTGAATAACTTTAGCAAATTCCTTGATGTCATTTAAATGAAATAAGGCTAAGAAACAAGAACAATTGCTCTTAGGAGAATTCTCTTCTCTCTCCCCGCCATGTTTATAGGATCTGTCCAAGTGACAATTTCCCCGGGGGTCCCCACCGTGCTTAAAAGAAGCACGTTGCTCACACAGGTGGAGAAGGGAGCCCAAGGACTTGTAGGTGAAGAGGGCTGCTTTCTTCTATCCTAAACTTCAGACCCATGGCTTGTTGGGACTGCACGCTGCGTCCGAGGGGGGACTGCAAGGAGAAAGCGACCTCCAAGTGTACGTTCACCTGACGCAGAGTTCTTGATTTTAAAAGAGATGAGAAGTGTTATCAAACATGTTCAATGGCGGGTAATAAATTTTTTCCTTTTTTGG